AAGGACCTCCATTGTAAAAAGAAGAAGCTGCAATGTAAAGAAATGACATCATGTCAAGATAAAATGTTAGAATGTCTAAAATTATCATTATAAGCATTGTAAAAAACAACAATGTTAGACCAATGCTACACCAATGTCAATTCTTCAACAATGTTGAAAACGGGAGATTTGAAAACAATGCCAATAATATTGACACAACTAAAGTAACATCACATAACATTCTTCAATTTAATTTTAAAAAATATTTTTCTAACAAAAAGTCAAGAAAAAGAGAAGGGAACACAAGAAGAAAAAATAGAGGAAAAAGTCAGAGAATAAACAGAGGAAAACGACATGTGAACAAACGAAAAAAAAAGAAAGAAACACAGGGAGAAAAAACAGAGGAAAAAGTCAAAAAGGAAAGTCGAAACAGGAAAAAGAGAGTAGCTCTAACAGAGAAGCAGCTTCACAAAGAAAGAAGACAGGGAATAGATCTGGCAACTTCTTGCACGATGCAAAAAAAAACTGATTTTGGGAGTAAATTAGTATTTTTGCCTTTTCTCAAAACACTTCAACTTCTTGTTCTGCTCTTTAAAAGAACAAAAACACTTTTAAGAATCACATCAAACACCCCTTACTCACCAATTTTTTCAAACTAAAACCTAGAGTCGTAAATGTGGTAACGAATGTGGGCTTTATTGGGAAGATGAGATTAACGAGGCTATTGCTCTCATGGTTTCCATTGCTTCTCACTTGGAAGCAATGGGATTTCCCCATCACACTATGTGAAGCCAATCCTCAGGCCGAATTCCTCTACGACGTCGTAATCAGCTCTGCACTCTCACGCAATGGTGATAATGCTCTCTCAGCAGAGTGGCCCGAGCTGCACAAATATCCTTCCTCTTCTTCTTCTTCCTCAGTTTATGTTGGTCCACAGAAAGGGTCGAGGGAAGCTGATAAGATCGTTTCCCTGCCGGGCCAACCTCTCGGAGTGGAGTTTAACCAATATTCAGGCTATGTGACGGTTGACCCCACGGCTGGAAGATCTTTGTTTTATTACTTTGCTGAATCTTATCGGAATTCCTCTGCCAAGCCTCTGGTCTTATGGCTCGCTGGAGGTATGCACCTTACCATTGATGGCATTCGCTCTCTGAACATCTCTGCAAAATATTTAGTCTTCATAAGAGAATCAAATTTAAAACTTTCATAATAATATTATAATGTTGAAGCATTTGTCCCACACCGGAAAGGTATAAAACAATTAAACATTATATAAGGTTTCGGGCTACTCCTCCTATAAGGTTGACCTTTTAGGATGGAACATCGGGTCTTAATATGGTATCAGAGCCAATTCCGGTGGTGGTTTGACGACTTGTTTAGCACCCGTGATTAAGGATAGCTTGTTAAGGGTTTGTTTGGCTCGTTTATATACCCTGATATTATTCAGCCCGGTTCGGGCTGAGGGGGCGTGTTGAAGCATTTGTCCCACACCGGAAAGCTATAAAACAATTAAACACTATATAAGGCTTTGGGCTACTCCTCCTATCAGGTTGACCTTTTAGGAATTAAGATGGAATCACATGTCTTAACATCCAAGTCATGATTTAAATTTTAAGATTTTGTCTAAATATTTTGGGATGGAGGTAGTATCTTGCACTAGTTTTAGGGCGATTTGGTAACATTGAAATTGATTGATTTTTTTTTTAATTATGATGAAACTGTTGAGTTTATTGAATCTATATACCCCTCCGTCCGTTAAAACTCTGTGAAGTTTGATCGGCACAAACATTAATAAAGAAAAAACTGCGTGGTTGAGATTTGTTCAATGAAGAAAGAATTAACTGAAACTATAAATTCTTTACAAAAAAGAAAAATTGAGAAAGTTTAAAAAGAGCAAGAGTATATAATAACAAAATAGTAGGATGAGATTTTGGGAGAAAAAATGTAGCAAAGCAATGGAGGGCCCGAGGGGTTGATGCGGTTGCCAAATAATAATTACAGTCTGGAACAATGAACTTCATCTATTACAGCCTCTCGAAAATGGTACATGCTTGGTAATTACTCAACTTTTTTAAGTATGAGATCATAAAAAGTTACTAGATTTTGTCCGATCAGGATCCTCTGCCATAAGGCAGAGTGCCTTGCGGCATCCGACGGCGGGGAGGCGACCAGGACAACCTTGAGATCGGCAAAGGAGTGGAGCCCAACATCTTCGGCCGTCCAATTCCCGATCGAACGGCCCGGAAGAGCCAGGCACCCTGCCTTGCTTTAAAGCAAGGCAGAGGCTCCTGATCCGATTTTGTCTCACTCAACTTTGCCAAAATGTTAAGATTTTTCACATCATCATCAAAACAATCCCAAAATAATCTCATGGATATGGATATTCTTAATAACTTTAATTTTAAGTATGAGATCATAAAAAGTGACTAGCTCCGTCTCACTCAACTTTGCCAAGTCGAGGTTGAGCGAGTAAGTAAAATAGTAAAAATTAGGGAAAACTATCAAATAAGCCCCGTACTGTACCGAAAAAGTCAATTAGGCCCTCGTACTTTACAAACACTCAATTAAGTCCTCGAACTATTAAAAAACGTTCAATTAAGCCCTTTCGGTCAGTAAGTATCCGATTTCCCGGTTTAAAGTAACCCATTTTCCGACAGCCGCCGTTGCTGGGGTTCGAGCACATCGTCGCCGTCGCCGCCGTTTAATTGGGAAACTGGTTACTTACCGACCAAAAGGGCTTAATTGAACGTTTTTTAATAGTTCGAGGACTTAATTGAGTGTTTGTAAAGTACGAGGGTCCAATCGACTTTTTCAACATAGTACGGGGGCTTATTTGATAGTTTTCCCTAAAAATTATGTGGTTCATATTTGTCCAAAAGAGAGAGAAATGAATAAACCACAAATTCATTGTTCACAAGTTTTTTGGAGCAAACAAAAGAATTTATCAAAGTCCAATGAGAAAGATGGAGTATAAATTTCAAATATTTCTTTGGGTATTAATAACAGAGTTACAATACTTTAAATAAAAATGAGGTTTTTATTTTTGCATACCCCACCCTACCTTCTCAACCAACTACTCATCTCCTTCATTTAGGGGATTCCGAGTTCCGACCAACTTCTTAAACAAAAAAATCATTGCCTATTCTTAGAAACCCTACCAGTTATCCCATTTTTTTTGCATTGCCTATTCTACTTTTCCGTATTTAAGAAAACACCCAAATGGATGGACTTTGCACATAAACGAAGAAAAAAAATCAAATGGCCTTCTAACAAAGTTCTACTCCGTAATTTCTTTATTTCAATTTAGTAATAAAGCTTTTTATCTACAAATGAGGCTAGATTTTTACATGCTTTACTCTGACTACATTTATTGAGTAATGTACTTGTTGGATAATTGATACCCATATCCTATTACTAGGGAGAGATTGAACAAGAGTAAATAAGAGTAATGGAGAAGAAGAAGAAGAAAATGTGTATTGTGTATGAACTATGAATTCTATGAGTTATGTTTACAAGCCTCCTATATGGAGTATATATAGAGAAAATCCGGGTCTGGGCCTCTAATACGGGCCTGACAGACTCGGTTACATAAATGGACTGATAGTATAAAAAGCTAATCTAGAACATCTGAATAATAATGTACAATAATATGAATCCGCTAAACGTGTGTGGGCCGCTGTCCAGGCCCAGTAGTCGGCATACCGGGGGGTCGGAGTCCATATACTCCATCATAGGCTAAAGGGTCAAATAAGTCCCTATACCGGTCGTGTAAGCTCAATTCAATCATTGAACCAAAAAAAGATCCAATTCAAACCTCGAACCGGCAAAAAATGGTTCAAATTTCATTTTTTACAGGTAACCAACTGGTCACCCACCATGTCACCTGTCTGATTGCCACATGTGCACCTAAAGTTCAAACTTAAAGTTCAAATAACCTCCTGAACCTGTCACAGTTGATCAAATCACCCCCTAAACTATTACAAAGTGTCAAATTTGTAATAAGTTAAAAATAAAAAACAGAAAAAATAAATAAATAAATAAATATTTATATGAAACTTAAGTTTAATTTAGACTTTATATTCATACTTTATATCTTTGTTTTTACATCAATATTATATTTAAAAAATCATTTTTTATTTTAATATTTTATTTTATGTTCTTATATTTTATTTATATGAAAATAACGGCATTCTTATTTGAGAATATTTGCCATATTTTATTCCTACTTAGGGTTTTTTTCTTTACAGTTTTAGATTTGTCCTTACATTTATATTTCATATTTCACTATATTTTTAACATTGTTTCCTATTTATTTTATTTTGTATTAGAAAGATAAAAAAACATATTTATGCTTTAAGTTATACGTAGTACAAAATATTTACGGATTAAACTTTTATATTTTTATTCTATAACTTTTTTGATGTACTATAAATTCCTATTTTATATTTCATACATTTTAATTCAAAACCTACGAAATGATAAAAATATAATAACATAAAATAAAACATTAAAATATTAATAAAATCTTAAATGAAATATTGATGTAAAAACATATATATAAAGTATGAATATAAAGTCTAAATGTAAACTTAATTTTCATATTTATATTTTTTTTTTAATTTTTATATTTAATTTATTACAATTTTGACACTTTTTAATAGTTTAGGGGGTCATTTGATCAAATGTGACGGGTTTAGGGGTTTATTTGAGCTTTTAGTTTCAACTTCAGATGCACATGTGGCAATCCTGGTGACGTGGCGGGTGACCGGTTGGTTACCTGTAAAAAATGAAATTTGAACCATTTTTTGCAAGTTCAAGGTGTGAATTGAACCTTTTTTTAGTTCAGAGGCTGAATTGAGCTTATACGCCCAGTTCAGGGCCTATTTGACCACTTAGACTAAAAAGTTATTCTAATTTAGATCCACTTTGGACGTGGACCTAACTTAATTGCTATTTTGCCTTTTCCCCAGCATTATTAAAGGCTCAAACATACCCTTAAGGCCTTAAGACATTGGGTTTATGATTGATCCCCTGCATAATCAATACTTTGTAGCAACTGTTGGTTAAGTTTTGTATTTGGTGGTGATGCAGGACCAGGATGCTCATCCTTTGGATATGGATCATTTCTACAACTTGGACCTTTCAGAGTTCATAGTGACGGAAAAACATTGTACATGAACGACTATTCTTGGAACAAAGGTAAGCAATCAAACTCTGCTTGGATCGGATAAGCTAATTAAGTTAAGTAAAGGATATGAAGGGAGGTGATAATATTACTCTTTCCTTACCAATTTTATAGTCTAGTTTGAACTCCATATCTTTGATGTCATAGAAATACGGAGTATGTATTAATGAGAATCATAGTTCTGTGATTTTTTCAAAAGTATACACGTACTGCTTTTAAACAAATTGTTCAATAGTATCTTTCATATGGTGTTGAAGTCCACACCAGAAAAATATGAAGTTAGAAAATGATATATATTAAGATATGTGCTATTTTTCCTATCAGATTAACCTTTTAGAATGGAACCTTGAGTTTTAACATGATATCAGAACAAAAATCATTCATAACCATAGTGTGAGCCAATAAAAAATGATGACTATAAAAATGACAATGGTGAACCGATGAAAAAATAAAGGGAAAACTGTCAAATAGGTCCTCGAACTTTCATAAAAAGGTCAATTAAGTCCTTCTATAGGAGGTTCTGTCCGGCCGTCGCGATTTGGGGCAGTTCCCGGTAGAATTTTTTGATAAAGTTTTTTGAGCATCTTATTCACCAAGTCTAGTTTACTCATACCAAATTTCAGCTAAAAATTCAATCGGGAACACATTCAAATTAATTCTTGAAGATAACTGCGCATTTTTGCGTTCTCGAATTAATTTGAATGCGCTCCCGATTAAATTTTTAGCTGAAATTTGGTATGAGTAAACTAGATTGATGAATAAGATGCTCAAAAAATTTCATCAAAAAATTCCACCGGGAACCGCCCCAAATCGCGACGACTGGACAGTCTCCTATAGAAGGACTTAATTGACTTTTTTATGAAAGTTCGAGGACCTATTTGACAGTTTTCCCAAAAATAAATGATGACATGATCTAGACGACGTGCCTGGTTGTGAGAAGGGTTGTTGAAATCTAATACTAGAAAAAATATGAAGTAATAAAGTGATATATTAAGATTCTCCTATCAAGATGACCTATTAGGATAGAACCCCGAGTCTTAACACGTACAGAGTATATATTTAAATTTTTTATGAGATCAGATATGAAATGTCACACTTAATGAAGCCTCACTTAAAAAATGAAATTGGAACTGTGGGACTATTGGATTATGACTTCCCCTTTTAGGATTATAGAAATACAAAGGCAAACTCAATAAATCAATTTCAAGTATATGTATCAAGAATCTTGATCATGTTTTATTTTTCTTTGTAAATTACAATGTAAGGCAAAACATATGGAAATTATATTTAACTTGGCATTTTTTCAATGCACCTAGCATATCTGTTCTTCCAAATGCTGTTTAGAGTAGTAAAACACTTCAGACAGAATCTAAAATTATAATTGCTGAGGTTTGCTGCATATGTTTGAAATGACAGTGGCAAATGTACTGTTCCTGGAATCTCCGGCTGGTGTGGGGTTTTCCTATTCCAACACAACCTCTGACTATAACACCACTGGCGACAAGAGAACGGCGGAGGATACATATACCTTTCTAGTTAACTGGTTTGAGAGATTCCCGCAGTACAAAACCCGGGATTTTTACTTAACAGGAGTGAGCTATGGTGGTCGTTTTGTGGCACAGCTGGCTTACACCATTGTAGCCCATAATCAGAATCCCAACCAGACATTCATAAACCTCAAAGACATTGCTGTGAGTCATTTATAGTGTTTTTTGATCAACCATGGAATTTTTCTAATGTTCCTACAAGTTGTTTTTTGCAGATTGGGAATCCTTTTCTGGACCGTCATTTACTTTTGAAAGGGAACTTAGAGTATCTATGGACACATGCAATGATTTCAGATAAAACTCATGCAGCAATTAACAAGTACTGTGACTTTGACAATGCAAACTATTCTGCAAGTTGCAAAGAGTACATCTCCAAAGGTCAAAATGAGGTTGGGCCTGTGCTTAGAGATAACATTTACTCTTCTGCCTGCACACAAGATGCACCGAAACCCCAATCTCCTGTTTCAGTAAGTCTTTGTTTTAACCATTCTGCTGTATGATATGATACTCTAGTTAAACTCATCTTACAAAGCCAATGCTAAATGAATGTGATCTGTGAAATGCTGATGAAGGGATATGATGAATGCTCACGCAATTATGTTGAGGCTTACCTCAACCGGAAGAACGTGCAAGAAGCATTGCATGCCATCAATACCAATTGGACACTTTGCAGGTACTCGAGTCTACACAGTCAGAACCGATACATATCAGGATAATGTTGAGGTTCCTCAACGTAAAGATTGAATTCAATCTGTTAGCTAGTTCAAATCAGGGATTCTTGATGTGGAATTCTATCAAGAACCAAAAGCATTTTCCTTTTAAAGTGTAAAACTACCCTGGTAGTATATACACCTCATTTGATCAAACTTTATGCAGCAAATATATCGGTTAGGTGACCTCAAGCAATCCAACTATCTGAGTTAAAGATCAAACTTTTTCTCAAGAACAAAAAAAGACGAGCTTATAAAAATATCAATGAGAGAAATAACTGAAATCTTTATGCAGCAAATATATCGGTTGGGGGACATGGAAAGATTCACCTGATACTGTGCTGCCCATTCTCAAGCAGCTCATTGCAAATAAAGTAAACATATGGATTCTAAGGTAAGCCCACAAGTACCCCTCTTCATACACAGACCCAAACTTCGAACCTAGAATCTATAGGATAACATTGTTACTAATGCCCCAAAAATAACGCAGCGGGGACATAGATGGAATTATATCAGTAACAACAACCAGGCTTGCAGTAAATGCTATGCAGCTTGCTGAGGTGACTGATTGGCATCCATGGCTTTCTAACCAGGTACTTATGAATCTTTTAAGTACTTTGAGTGGGAAGAATGCCTCTGCTGAAGCAAAGAATTTATCCCTGCACAAATATAATTTGCAGGAGGTGGGAGGATATGTGGAAGGGTATAAAGGGTTGACACTGGTTACAATACGAGGAGCGGGGCACGAATTTGCGAGCTACCAACCAGAACGGTCACTGGCTGTAATTTCATCTTTTCTTCAAAACAAACTCCCCCCAGCTGTTTAATTGGCTACAACAAGTTTCTTATTTCCATTAAAAATAATAATATCACCTGTTGGCATTGATGTAGCAAAAAGAAAGAGGCACTAATTGAAAATTGATGTAAAATGCTTACATGTGAGATTAGATGTGAAGTAATGACTTTGGATGTGAAATGTAGGGGTATAAATAGAGTTTACATTGTTTGATTTGGTTATTAATGTAAACTGTGAGACACTTTTTAAAACATTTCACATTGTGTCACATAAAAACTTTTACGTGGGTGAGAGATGCAAAACACTTTTAATGTTTTTAAAATTACCAAACAAGCCCTTTGAGACTAACTTTTTATCTCTTTATGCATACTGTTGGGAGCGACTATGTAGATACACAATACTTAATAACTTCCCAAATTAGGTTATTATCATTATTGTTTGATTTTGGCAGGTCTTTAAAAAGTGAAATTTTATGATTCAGCTTTACTTTAATAAGGAAAAATATACTCACATAATTATATATTTAAAAGCAATAAAAAGTTCATTTGTAGATGAACAGAGGAATGATTTTTCATTCAGACAGGTAAGGAAAACAAATAGAAGTACAATTGTACCTTTGAGTCTTTGACCCGTTAAATGTTCTTATAACTTGGCGTGCTTTTGACATGATTATTTCGTTACAATGGAAGTGAGAATAAGGGAGTGTTTGCAATTGCTTCAATTTAAAAAAGTGATTTTTTAAAGTGATTTTGGGAAAAGTGATTAATAGTAAAAGTTGGTAGTGTTTGAGAAAAAGTGATTCTGAAAAAGTAAAACTTTGTAGTGTTTGGTAAAATAAGTACTTTTGTGTAATAGAAAAAGTGAAAAGCAGTTTAAAGCACTTTTCCACCTACTTCCAGCTTTAGCTTTTAAGTGATTAATTTAAGCAGAAGTTGTCATTTGAAAACACTCTTTTTAGCTTTTTTTAAGTCAAAAGCTGAAAATCACTTTTTTTAAGCAACCGCAAACACTGCTTAAGTTTTGTAAGTGCAACATTAACCTTTTTTGTTTCACAGTTCGCACTATTTATAATTGAATACATCTAGATTTACATTTCTTTTACACATTTTTATGCACATTCTTGTGTGACATGTATTTAGTGGTGATGAAATGCCAAACAACATTTTTCAACCAATAAATAAAAGTTAAATGGGAATCATACTAAAATGTAAAAACAAATTTATACCTAAACATACTATTTATAAATTATAATTTGAGGTTAAAACTTCTAAGAGTTTATTAATTATCTCACTTATATGATACCGAGGACTATTGGTCAATAGTGGCAGGGATGAAATTGATGGGTTTTTTTCTTAAAGAAAATATGTATGATTTTGCATTGAAAAGGTAAATATGTTATGCAATAGTTCTAATAGTTATGTAATCGGAGTCATAAAAGTCTTTTTTATTTGTATAATATTTTGAAATTTATTTGTTTAATGTACTTTTTTTGGATAAAAAGAAAGTTTTATTCAAGGACGAGCAAAGTAGAGTACATTGTGAAAGGGAAAAAGAGAAAGAAAAAATGAAAAAGAACGACAAAAGCCCGACCCTAAGAACAAGTAAAAAAAACCTATCCGTAAAAAAAAGCTATAAGGCAACTCCACATGTGAATGAGGCCTCGTTCTCATGGAATGTGATCGTTGATGCTTTTTTCTGTATATTTTCATTTGAGTGTTAAGATTTTGGGTGGACAGACAGTTATCTTTCATGACAAACCGAGCTTTGTTGCATATGTTCTGATTTGTGTCTGAGTCCCATAAATCCTCTAATGCTGAGATGGGAGTTCTCTTCTCGCTCTTCGAGGCATGGCCTAGAAAATCATCTTCCGAGTATGATAAAATCTTCTCTCCAAATACTCCCTCATAGACAAAGCATTGATTACTTGTGAATGCATCTCCCGAGATATGATTGATATGTTAATCTTCTCACTCCATGTGCTCGTTAGTGAGCATGTTACATGCTCGTTAAAATTATTGTCCTCACTACTAGAATTATCTTCATTTGCTGCGGTTAAAATGGAGTATTTGCTGCGGTTTTGAACCGCAGCAAATAGAGGGGCAGCAAAAAGTGGAGATCGTTTATTGCTACGGTTGTTACCCGCAGCAATATGTGTTCAATAAAAACAGTAAAAGAAAGAGATACTTGCTTCGGTTGTTCTTTGACCGCAGCATTAACAACAAATTTTAAAATAGTATTTTACCATGAAATGGACACGCACCCGTTACACATCAAATGTAAAAAGTTGCTGACACGTCCCATACTCCCATTATCAACACAAGTAATCTATTTTATTCAACACCAAATCAGAACGTCATAACATTGTAAACTACATAAAAAACTGGAAAAAAAATTAAACATAACTATCTAATCTATCAAACTTGGTGTACATAATATATATCTAATCAATATTACTACTTTACTTTACAATTATTATCTAAAATAGATACTGCTCATTGTTGTGGACTTCGAATTCCTGATCAAGTAGCTCAAGTGTTTCCTGATTCCTGTAAACCTAAAGGAAATCATTTGAACAACAAAACAAAAGAAAAACAACTCATCAACTTGATTGCCTAAAAGAAAATAGCTGAAAGCATCAGGACAACAAAACAGCAAGGAACAAAGTGAGCATAACATTCAATATTCAATATTACATAATATAGAATCGACGGTCTCAGCATTAACTTCTTTTCAATATATAAAATCTAAAATAAACACAACAACAAAACTAAAGGAACACAAAGTCTTACACAGTTGCAAGATCAAAGATTTCTAGGTAATTGTGAGCAAAGCCTTACCTGCAATTCTAAATTTAAGAAAACGAAAAATCTTATACTGCTCATTTGTGGTGGACTTAGAATATGATAAGGTCCCTCTTCAAAGCCAAAGAGATATGCTCGTACTAGCATAAGACAGGTGTTTTTGGTAGTTTAGACTACCTATTTTTGATGTTTTTCATTGATATAAATAGCCAAGTACCTGAACAAAAGAACGGAAAGGTGGAGTCATGGACTCCAAAAATGCAGGGAAAGGGAAAGTGGAGAACGTTCTCCCTGAAAATCAGGAAGACTTGTTCTCTTATTTACAACTGAAACACAAATAATACTGAAACTTATTTAAATAAGGTATTTTTTATTCTGCTTGCGTGGCCTTGTGGACCGTCTTACTGCCCCCTCATCACTCTCATACACCGCTGGCTGTTGCTCCGCATCAATACTCCCCTTCTCCAACAGAACCTTGTCCTCAAGGTTCACAGGAAACTGAGGGAAGCTGGCCCTGAGCTGGTCGTACTCCTCCCATGTAGCTTCTTCCATAGGTAAGTTCTCCCACTTAATTAACACCTCAATTACTTGTCGGGACCCTCGCTGGACTGGCCGAGTGCTGAGGACCTCTTCCGGTCGTAGCAGTAATAACCCGTTCTCGCGTAGTGGTGGTAACTCTACTGTCAGTGGTGCAGCATCCCCAACTCGTTTCTTTAGCAAGGAGACGTGGAAAACCGGGTGAATGCGTGAACCCTCGGGAAGCTTGAGTCGGTATGCTACCTGGCCAATGCGTTCCTCAACCCGAAAAGGTCCAAAATACCGGTTGGTTAGCTTCCGTGAAGAACGTTTGAAGACTGATTTTTGGCGGTATGGTTGCAAGCGGAGGAACACCCAGTCACCTACTTCAAATTCCTCGTCCCTGCGCTTACGATCTGCCAGTTGTTTCATACGGTTGTTGGAAGTCATGAGGTGTCTTTTTAGTTCTCCCAACACTTGATCACGCTCCTGTAACTGAACATCGATTTCTTCTACCAAGGAGGACCCAAATTCATACCTGGGAATTGGAGGTGGTGGGCGGCCGTATAATGCTTCAAAAGGTGTCATCCCGGTCGATGCGTGGTACGTGGTATTGTACCAGTATTCTGCCCAGGGCAGTAAATCACTCCATTGTGTGGGTCGGTGCTGGACAAAGGAGCGGAGGAATTGTTCGATACACCGGTTAATGACCTCCGTTTGCCCGTCGGTTTGTGGGTGGTATGCTGAAGACATCCTCAGTGTAGTTCCTGAAAGTTTCCATAGATCTTTCCAGAAATGGCTCAGAAAGATGGGGTCACGGTCACTAAGAATGGACCTGGGAATCCCATGAAGGCGAACAACACAATCCACAAACCGCTTAGCCACCAGGGATGCGGTATAAGGATGGGTTAGAGGAATGAGATGTGCCGACTTACTCAACCTGTCAACCACCACGAGAATTGTAGTATGATTGTTGGATCGAGGCAGCCCATCCACGAAGTCCATCGACACATCCTCCCAAACCTGATTTGGTATGGGCAATGGTTGTAGCAATCCAGCTGGCGACATTGTGTGAGCCTTCGCTCGTTGACAAGTGTCACACCTGGACACATATTCTGTGACAGTCTTGTGCATAGCCGGCCAATAAAACTGGCGAGATAATCTCTTCATTGTGCGTAGTATTCCAGAATGACCACCCAACGGGGTGTCATGATGTTCCCGGAGAAGCTGTGTAATGAACCTAGAGTTAGGAGGTATTACCACACGGTTGTTGTAGCATACTAAACCATCCCGCCATGCGTAAGGTTTCCCTGGTGCAGCCCTAGCTGCCTCTCCTGCCCGTACCAAATATGGATCGGTTTCTGCCATTTTTCTCAATTCATCCCAGATTGTTGCATGTTGTGTGGAGATAGAGTTGAGCACAGGGCTATCAGGGACGCGTGATAATGCATCGGCAGCAGTATTAGCTTTCCCCGGCCGGTATATGATCTCATAATCATACCCAACTAATTTTCCCATCCACTTCTGTTGCTCTGGAGTGAGTATTCGCTGTTCGAGCAGGTATCGGAGGCTGCGCTGGTCGGTCTGGATGATGAATCTGCGACCGAGGAGATATGGTCGCCATGTTCGTATGGCCACGATGATAGCCAGCATCTCACGAGCATATGTGGACCAATTCCTCTTTGCCACCCCCAGCGTGCGGCTCATAAATGCTATTGGTTTATCATTCTGGGAGAGAATTGCGCCAATGCCTTCTCCAGACGCATCAGTTTGAATCACGAATGGTTGAGAGAAATCTGGAAGGGCTAAAGTTGGAGTTGTGGTCATGGCGTGCTTGAGTGCAGCGAATGCTTGTTCTGCTTCCTTGT